ATAATGTGGATAAAGTAGATTTTAAACATTGTGTAGAGGGTTTTTGTTTTTTTGTTTTTTGAGGTTTTTGCTATAGGGCGTGTGTGCTCGCCAGACAGACAGGGAGAGACAGAGAGACAGAAAGCGAAAAATCACCCCCAAGGGGGAATGGTCACACTGCAATCCCTTCTCCTCCATTCTCCTCTCGGGATCTTGGACACACACGCACATGCGCCCAGCGTGAGTTTAAGTAACCGGGTCCGGGACCCGAACCGCAGTCGACTACATGGGAGTCCAGTGACACAGCCATTATGCTAACTGCTGGTCCCTAGACAGAGTTTTTATAATGGAACTTCTGTAGCTATGGTAGCACACTGAAAAGTAGCTTCATAGATGAGACACCGGTGAGGTGGGCCCCAGTAACCCTTGATTGTTACATCACTAGAAACTGACCTGTCATCATAAAGGGCAGGCCTGTAACTGGGCATCAGGGACAGGCAAGCTCAGGCCAGAGAATCACCAACAGATCCCATTTCCTTTTCTTGGTAAATGACAGTGGTCTTATTCATTGTTGTGCCTAGCATTGTGCCTGGATTCTAACAGGCACTCAGTAGATACCTGTTGAATGAATGAACGACCTCATGAACTGCATGCTTCAGAATATAGAGAAGAGAATGCCTTTTTGTTTTTGTGAAGCCAGAATCCTCTCAGGGTTTCAGACTGAATAGTCCACTCAGAAGAGAATTTTAGTTAAAAATTGCTTGGCAGGAAAAACAAATACCCCTCGCTCCATCCTGCACAATGGCCCGATGCCCTTCAGCCTCTAGAAAGGGAGTAGCACTTCTGGCATAGAAAAGAATCTTTCTGAGTCTGCTTGCCAGAGAGCTATACTGTCTAATCCTTGATTTTGCCAGAGTCATTGTGGAGAGAGTTGTACACATGTAGGCCAGATGCAATTCACCATTGTGGTTGTACTTCATCCTTGAGTTGAAGTGGGGCAGCCTTGGGTTTCTGATCCAAGTTATTTCCATAACCTCATTCTCCAGGCTCACTTCACATGTATTCTCTAATTCATTTTCACACTATTCCTACAGAGAAGGTTGTGCTGGACCCATTTTAGAGATGGAAAACCAGAGGCAAGTTAAATATCTGCCAAGGAATTGCAAAATGAGAGGGGTAAGTAAAATTATTTTATCTCATGTTCCAGTTCAGGGTCCCTGAGCTAACCTCATTCCCCACTGCTCACCCTAATCCCCTCAGCCCTCCAGCTCGAGGTCACAAGCACAGAACATACATATTTGCAAGAAAGCTCTGAAAGAGAAAGTTGGATCCATCTACTATTTCTGTTTCCATAGATTCAGTTATTTCCCCTTTTTTCCGATCACAGTAAACCTAAAAGGAATTATTAGGAAATATTTCTCAGGCTGGAAAAATTTTCATATGGGAGAGAAAATATGGCTAATAGAGTAAATCATTCTTGGGTCTTTTTTTTGGGGGGGAGAGATTTTCACTGTAGGGCGTGTGCGCTCGCCAGACAGACAGAGAGAGACATAGAGACAGAAAGCGAGAAATCACCCCCCAGGGGGGATGGTCACGCCGCAATCCCTTCTCCTCCATTCTCCTCTCGGGATCTTGGGCACGCACGCACACGCGCCCGGCGTGAGTTTTAAGCCACCGGGTCCAGGACACGAACCGCGGTCGACTACGTGGGAGTCCAGCGACATAGCCATTACGCTAACTGCTGGTTCCCGGGTCTTTTTGATTTTAACACTTTTACTTCTTGTAGTTGGGGGATAGAAATCCAAGGGGGAGGAAGGGGGTCTGGGATTTGAGTATTACTTATTTAGACCAAATTCTGAGGGGGGTGTGTGTGGGGGGAGTGAGGAATGCAACTTTAAATACCACTTTATGACTTCTGTGGCTGGTGGAAAAGGTTTCTTTTTTTTTTTTTTTTTTTTTTGTGTTTTGGCAGCTATGTATGGGGAAAGAGAGCTGAGAAAATAGAGAGGAAAGATACCAGACTGGGGTAGGAACGAGCAGGAAAGGAGCTAAGGTGTGGAGATGGGGAAGAGTGATATGTATTGAGGTGAGAAAAAGAGGCTGGAAGAAAAGAGATTGGAAAACAGGGGAGAGTATTGGAAGATGGAGAGAGGGAAGCAGGATTCTGGGACCAAGCCCTGAGAGGACTTGGCTGTTTTTTGAAATTTCTTCCAGTTCTCAAGTTGTTCTGTTGGTAAGGGCAAGGTTTTGTCTTTCTCTGGTTTGAGACAGAGCCCTGCGAGTCAGCCTACAAAAGCTGGTGAACTGAGTTACATGGCTACTATGTGCGGAGTGTGATGCTAAGCCTGCTAGGTGTTGAAAAAGAGAGCTTCACCTTTCCTGCGAAGCTTGTAGACTAGCTGGGAAGACAAAGCAGAAGTCCATGGAAAAATTTAACCATGTTAGTGACATGGGAAGAGAACACCATACAGGGGAAATGGGTAGCTGAGGAGAGACTAGAGAAGATTAATCCTTGAGCTGAATGAGCAGCTGGCTAGCTCCTAGAATCCTCCTAACTTGCTCTTGGTTAAGGCCTCCCTAAAAATCTAATGTATTCTCCCCCCTCCTCTAAAAGGTCTCCTCTCAGACTGAAAACTTTGGCTTCTCTAGTGGTAGCAGTAGAACCAGAGAGAGGTTTTAGAGCTGGATTAACTCCCCATGGATATTTTCAGCATGCTTGGTGTCTCCAGGATTCCTGCTACAGTTCCACTGGGATGGCAATGCTTTAGGAGACTCTAAAAAGACACAATTTATGATATAGACTTGATTTTCAGGTTCTTTTCACGTTAATATAATAATAAGCCTCATCCCACTTTCAGGCAGGCACCCAGGTACTAAGTAGGCCCAGGCTGCTGTAATAACTTTGTAATAATGGGGCAGTGGTTATGACATACTCCATTATGAACTCAGAGTCAGCCTATATATGAGCAGGAGGGGATGGGCTGTGGGCAGTTGGGGGTTAGAGGGGTATAGGGAGGAAGGTAGGACTAGTATCAACCTAGAGTAGCTCTCTAATAACTGTGGTAATCTTTTGTTGCTGGGACAGCAACACAGGCAATTTAGCAGGCAAAAGGACTCTAGACTGATTGGCATCCTGCTTGTCTTCTTTTCTAAGGTGAGTATTGAAAAGGAATCAAGATCAAAACTCTTATAAAGATAAGGTATTGAGGGGCCGGCAGGTGGCGTGGTGGTTAAAGGTGCTGGACTCCCATATGACTGATTGCGGTTCAAGTCCAGGACCTGGTGACTTGCTTTCTCACTTTCCCTCTCTCTGTCTCTCTCTGATCAAACTGGAAAATAGTAATAATAATAATAATAATAATAATGATAATTAAAGTTAAGTAAAATAATTCTTAAAGAAAAAAGATAAGGTCTTTGACCCAGCTAAAGAGGGGGTGGGAGCAGTTAGCTCAGAAAAGGGAGCATCCTCTTTTCTTGACCTTCTGCTGGGTATATATGTACCTATGTGTACACACACACACACACACACACACACACATATGAATATATATCCCTCCTCCAACTCTTGGTATGGGATAGGAAAAGCTTTTAGTTTTTTTTAAATTTAATTAATTTACAAATTTAGTCTTTCACTGTACATCAATACAGTATACAAAATGAGATTTTTCCATCCAGTATACATTGTATATCGGCTCAATCAAAGGCTTTTAGGTTTCTTAAAGAAAGTCTACTCAAGGGGATGTCATTAAGGATCAATCCACTAGAGGGTGTACTGCCCAGGGCTCAACTAAAGGACTAAAGAGAGGCAAGATCGGATAAAATCAGACAAGCCATTAGATGACACAGGAGTTCTGCCCTCAGCAGAAAGGGACCTTAGTAAGGGACATGAAACCATGGAGGTAGTTTGTGAGATATTTTTAGTGTGGACATATGGTAAGGGTGCCTCAGGAGTGGCTTAAGCAGGAAGTGGGATATAAGGAAGAGAGAAGTCATGGTGCTAGCGTGGTCCTGACAGGCTAGAGCCAGGATTTTAACAGCAGGTTCAGATCATTGTTTCCTTTCCTCCAGGGGTCATTGTGCACTTGTCCCTTTGGCTTTAGAGCCTCTGGATTAGGTAGAAAACATAAAGTCAGAGCTCAGAGCACACCAGAACTCTATGTCTCTGATGATTAAGCAACCAGTATGTAGTTCAGCAAAGGCTTTCAGCTTTGCTCATAATTGGACACTTGCTTCTGTGAGGGTGGCTCAGGCAACTCTGTTGTCATGGCAACTTACCTAGCACCTATTGTCTGGGCAATTGGGGGTAAACTGCCTCTGTTGTCATGACGACAAGATTCCTCTTATATTTCCCCAGGTGATCACTCTACTGTAGAAGAAATGGGGTTAACCAACAACTGTAATGGAGAACAGCTCAAGCCCAATGACTCTGAAGCACCCACTGAAGATCAAGGAGAAGAAGTCCAACAACAAGAAGAGGCAAGCAGTGTTTTTTCCAATTGCAACTTAATTATGGGGACCCTCTTATAACGTTCCCCCTAGAAAAGCACTAATATCTGACTCTTGAATTCTTAACCACCAATTAGTGTATGACAACCTGGGTTACCTTCTTGCTGGGTTGGGGGAGAGCCAGGAGCAACCACTACTACTTTTCAAAGCCATCTCCCATTACCTAATTTGATAAGGTTCTAATACCAGCTAACATATTTTCGGTGCTTACTATGGGCAAGGCATTGTGCCTGTGCTCTGAATCACTCTACTATATGGTCTTGCTTCGAGGAAATGTCCCATTAGACAGATGAGGAAACAGAATCAGGGGTTAAAATAGTTAGTTTAACTGATACCAGCCTGGAACTAGAATCCAGGGCTCTCAATTGCCTGTTTAGTCCCTTGCAGCCCTGGGTTGGGTTCTGGTTTGTGGGAGGAGAATAGGAAGGAGGGATTCCCAAGGGAAAAGGAAGTGGGCCCCTCCTAGTTGTACTCACCATGCGTTGGCGTCTCTGCCTTCTTCGAAGTCTCATGAATTCCTTATGCTGACGAGAGACAAAATTGACAGCAGCGTACTCCAGCAGGGCAGCAAATACGAAGAGCAGGCACACCGCCATCCAGATGTCGATCGCCTTCACATAGGATACCTGCAATATCCACCAACAGAGTAATCAACCTTCTTGGAGTTCTTTCATGGCCTGTCCCGTGGATTTCCAACCCGTATCAATTGCCTGCTATTCTTCATTTTTATCCTGGATTTCTTCTGGTTTTTAAAGAAGCTTTCCACAACATGTCACGTTGTCTGATGGCCTACATCAAAGAGATCGAGCTACCCATCGTCCTTCACCTCTCTGCCCTCTCTACCCTCCACTACTCTCTGCCTTTCCTTTCTACACTTCTTTTCCTTTCTTTCTTCATTCTTTTTTTGCTTCTGCTTCTGCTTCTGATTCTTCTTTTCATTCTTTTCTTCTTCTGATTCTTTTCTCCCAATAAACAGCATTGAAAGGAACACTGCATTTGTTTGCCTTCTGTTACCTCCTAGGTCTTCACAGCCACAGTGGTAATTGGGCAGGGTTTGTAATTCCCATGTGAAATGCAGTAAGATGCCTAAGACCCAGGGAGGAAAGTCTTAGCCAAGATTACTCAATGGGAAGGTAGCACTAGGACTCAGGGGTTCTGGGCTTTCAATTCAGTGGCATTGCCATTTACTTAAGTTGCAGTTCATTGACGAACCAGGAGCTCCTTTTTCTTTTTTCATCACAATTCTTCCCTTTTCCCTGTGATTTTTTTCCCTACTGCTCTTTGCAAGAGGTCATGCTGAAGAATTGAGCTGGGACCTTATCTTTTACTCTGAAGAGAACAGGGCAGGCATCCTGAGGGAGAAAAATCCACCTCCTATAAAGATGCTCCACTAATTGCAAGGCTATCCATTCCCTAGTACTCTGCTCCCACCACCTGCCTTGGCATCCTGTAAGTACTTTCTTCCCTACTTCCTTCATGAAGTTGGACTACTGATCTTTATTGGAACAGGATTATAACCAGGTGGGGCCAAAAGTGGAGGACAGAGCTCTGATTTATAGAATTTTTTCATCTCCTCAATTGATTCAACCCCCCCCCCCCCTACAGTCCACTAGCAGGAGAAGGATTCATGACAGGCAATTTCTTTCATCATCCTCTGCTATGGTGGCCAGTGACAGTGCTCCCCAGGTAAGGAGCAGGTTTCACTGAATACACCCTTTACTTCCGTGATTTTTTTTTTGAGAGATTTTCGCTATAGGGCGACATTAGACAGAGAGACATTAGAGACAGAAAGCGCCCTGGGGGGATGGTCACGCCACAATCCCTTCTCCTCCATTCTCCTCTCGGGATCTTGGGCACGCATGCACACGCGCCCAGCGTGAGTTTTAAGCCACTGGGTCCGGGATGCGAACCGCGGTCGACTACATGGGAGTCCAGCGACATAGTCATTACGCTAACTGCTGGTTCCCAGTGATTCTTAACTGGAGACAACTGGCTCCCCCACCACCTCAGGGAATTTGACAATGTTTGGAGATAATTTTAGTTGAAAAATTTTGGGGGTGGTGCTGGCTACTGGCACCTAATGGGTAGAGGCCAGGGATACTGTACAGTCTCCTTCAATATACACTCCCCCTCAAAGAATAGCAATAGTGCTAAGATTGAGAAATGGTGTAGATGGTGGGTTACTAGGCAACCGTGGTAGGGTTGGTGTCTCCACTTTGCCACCTACTAAGATTCACCATCTCACAGTCCCACTGTGCTCCCAGGGATGTAAAAAACCTGTTATGAAGATCAATAATGAGCTCAGAGCAAGTGAAGGCCATGAAGAACTTTGGACCATCAAAGAAAAGGACACCTTAACATGAGGAAGAAAGTCTTATTAACAATCAGTGTGTTGATAACACATCTTAAAGGTCTCTGGAATTCATCCAATCACTATCCTAACTCATTTGAAGAGTAGCAACAATTTCTGAAGTGGTATCCCTGATCTACTCTTGCCACCTGCAATCTGTTCTCCAAGCAGCAGCTAAAGTTGTCTTCAAAATATAAATCTAATAATTCTACTCTCCTACTTACAACCCTCCAGTGGTTCTCCATTAGCCTAATGATACAGTCTATACTACCCTTTCCATGACAGGTACTCTCTGCCTACCTCTTCGGCCACTTCATGCTCCTTTCAATATATGGTCCTGCCATGGTAGACTACTGAAGGTGAGATTTGATGTAGCTTTCAGAAGCCACTGGCCCAGCACCATCTCTTTCCTTGGGACTCCCACTAAACCTAGTGTTGCACTAGCCCAGAAGTGAGCAGAAGCTCCCTGGCCTCCTGAGACCCTTGCTCTGTGGAGCTAGCTAATGAGGCTATTTAACTTGGGGTGCATGCCTGGGTATTTTGTTTACTGGCCAATGAGGCTATGAAAAAGTCATTCCAATCTGATAAGAAGGCACAAAATGCTCCAAGCAAACAATGCTCAAACAAAGTCCATTTTTTCCAAATGAGGAAACTAAGTGATTCCTGGGAGTAGATGGATTGTGCTCACTCACAGGAGGGGACCAGAAAAGGAAGTTCTCTTGGCAAGAATAAGGCATAAATTGCAGTACCTCCCTGAGTTAGAGACAACTCTCCTGCGTGGTAGAGGCAATAAACTAGGGCAAGGTTCCTAGGTCTGAACTACTTTTCTGCCTGTGGTCTTATTTTTTTTTTTTGGAGAGATTTTTGCTATAGGGTGCGTGCACTCGCCAGACAGACAGAGACATAGAGACAGAAAGCGAGAAATCACCCCCCCAGGGGGGATGGTCACGCCACAATCCCTTCTCCTCCATTCTCCTCTCGGGATCTTGGGCACGCACGCACACGCGCCTGCCGTGAGTTTTAAGCCACTGGGTCCGGGACGCGAACCGCAGTCGACTATGTGGGAGTCCAGCGACATAGCCATTACGCTAACTGCTGGTTCCCTGCCTCTGGTCTTTATACAAGGCCATTACCATAACACAGCCGTCACAGCCCAGCCTGGCCTTATAACCCTTGCCTCAGTCTAGCCTGCCTCTCAGAGCCTTGTCAATCTCCCATCCATCTATGAAACACATTTACAGAAAATGATCCCTGACAACTTGCCCTGGGACATTTGATCCTGATCCGAGCTTTGTCACAATTTATCCCTATAGGACTTGGGACCACCTCAAAGGTTTCCTTGCAACTACAAAATAATTGGGGACAATAGCAGCTATTTAAGTCTCAGATCTATTGGGGCCAGTGGGTAGCATGGTGATTGAGGTGCTAGATTCCCACATGGCAGACTGCAGTTCAAATCTGGATCTGGTAGCTTGAAAATCATGCCTGGTGTGTATTGTGTGCATGCCTCAAATCCCAGGAGAATGGAAGATGTGGGCTGCAGTGTGAATATTCCCTCGGTGGGGGCGGTGATTTCTCATTTTCTCTTTCTCTATCTCTCTCTCCAGTGAACGAATGTACCCTATCACACACACACACACACACACACACACACACACACACACACACATACAAACACACACAAATCCCACTCAGTTTTTTTCAACATTGACACCAAATAGTTAAGATAATAGCTAACAGGGCCAGCAGGTGGCATGGTGGTTAAGGTACTGGACTTCCACATGGCCAAATGCAGTTTGAATCTCAGACCTAGTGGCTTGCTTTCTTACTTTTTCCCTCTCTCTCTGCTGAATGTGCATGCACTATAGCAAATTTAAATTAATAATGATAATAATAAATAAAATTAACTCTTTAAAAACAGTTAACATTTATTGAGTGGCTATTATGTGCCAAACACTGTCCTGTTATTTTTTTAAGTTTTTGTTTTGTTTTGTTTTGCCATAGGGCACGTGTGCTCGCCAAGCAGAGAGAGAGAGAGACAGTGAGAGGGAAATTGAGAAATCATCCTTTGGGAAGATGACTATACCACTATCTATTCTCCTTGATTCTCTTCTTGGGATTTTGGGCACATACACATACATTCCCAGCATGATTTTCAAGCTGCCAGGTCCGGGACTCAAACCATGGTTGGCCATTTGGGAATCTAGCACCTTAACCACCATGCTACCTGTTGGCCCCAGGTACATTATTTTTTGCAATAACCCTATAAAAGAGGTAAAATTCTTATTCTCATGTCATAGGCAAGGAGATTGAGAAGTTAAGGTATTTATCTAAGGTTACACAATTAATAAATTATAAGGCTGGAACTTAAAACCAAATCTCTAATCTCTCACTCTTAATCACTATTCCTCCATATAGCAAATTCATAAATTCACCATGGAAAGCTCATATTAACTCCTGTTTAAGTCCCTAGTAGCAAAAAGTCTTATTAGGAACAAGCACTGAAAGATGGGAGATCTCGGGGCCTGGTTCCCAACAAATCAGAGCAAGAGGGAATATGTCCACTTTAAGGTCCACAAGAAAAGTGTGTTGTTTTTCCTTCCTATCATTTTGTTATGGCCAAATATAGTGCCTGGTACGTAGTGCATGCTCAATAAATATTTATCGAATGAATGAATGGCATTACTCACTGATTTGCTCAAAGTCTTGCTGACCATTAGGACTTAGGTGACCTCTAAATTACCTGCACAAAGACATGAGGCAGGAAGAACCTGTGCTCAATACCATCAGCACAAATCTTTCTGCGTAATCAAAACATCACCAGGTCCCAGATCATCAGAGTCCACTGACTTTAACTGCTATTTGCTACTTTAAAATTTTCTCACTTCAAAAGAATGAATACATCTCTAGAACTCTTTTCAATAGTATCTGATTTCTGACATAGTTAGAGGACACACATTGCTTCAAAATTCTGCTATTTCTTTAGTTGTTTCTTGTGGGGCATGACCTTGAGAAGTCCATTTTGTCCTTCTCAGCTGTATTCTCATCTGTACCATGAGGTACTGGGACTTTCTACTTGCTAAGGATCTTTTGATCTTAGACATGCCAGTGTGTCCTGAAGAAAGTCCAGGTAAGTAAAGCACTATTTCTACTAATTCCCAAGCCAGACACTATCCCTAAGCCCAGCCACCTCACTGTTAGCAATGTTACTAGCAATGCATTGTGGGAGCAGATAATGTAGGGCACCCACTCTTGCTCCACAGCTCTTTTCAGCCTTAATCCCAAGGTAAGTAGTGAGCATACAGGAACAGGGGATGAATGTGAAATGGAGAATTCTATGGCAAGTAAGTTCCCTTGCATGTCTATTCACCTTAGGCAAAGAGGCCCGGGAACCAGAGCTCTGGGTTGTCATGGTGAGCACGGTCGTGATGCCTAGGCCCACGCGGGCAGGGGCAGCATCCATGTTGATCCAGAAGGAGACCCAGGACAGGATGACGATGAGTAGACTGGGGATGTACATCTGAATCAGATAGTAGCCCATCTGCCGTTCCAGGTGAAACTTTACCTCAATGCAGGTGAATTTCCCTGCAAGGAAAAAGGTAAGGTATCAGGTCGCAGGTCCCCAGGCTGCGGCTGAGCCTGAGGGGGCAGAACTAGGAAAGCCCTATTTCTTCTGGACACCTCAACTGGGCCAATGAATAAGCCTTTCAAAATGGTTCCAGGACGTGCCAGATGTATTTACTCTTAGAGAGGCCATCAAGGATTTGGCCTCTTGCTCTGGGTACTTTAAGTTTTCAGCAGAAGGCCTCTTATATGACAGCACAGCAAGAAAATAAAGAGCAGGAGGACTCCAGCGTTAGACTGCCTGGGTTTGAATCCTGAACCTTCCACTTTTTAGCTATGTGATCTTGGGCAAAACACAGAAGCTTTTTAAGCTACAGTTTCCTTGCCAGTAAAACACAGTAATAACTATATTACCTCCATCACTGGGCTATTGGAAAATTAAATGCTATCATGTATTTGACGTGTTGAGCATATACATAGCTATTACAATTGTTATCACTATTAACAAAACTATTAGCTTAGATTCCACTCAGATCTCAGCCTAAGCGTACACTTGCTTGTGCTTGCTAGTACCCGAGAAGCTCTCTAGCAAGATAAACACTGCCTGTGTCTTAAGCAAGTGAGAAGAGCCAGATAGCAAACATATGGAAACAATGCCCAACAGAGCCCTGCACTGGACAACGGGCAGCGAGTTCCCATAGAACATCAGGCAGCAGTATTCTATTCCACCAACAAAAAGCGCATTGGCACCAGGCACATGTACCAATGTTCTGCCTCACCTACCAGCCATCTCTACTTTGCCCTGCTTCCCAAGGCCCCAAGGCTCAGAAAACACTAGCTCAGAGCTTCTTTCAAAAGCAGAGGCTTGGGATTACCCAAGCAAAAAGGAGAGAATGTGTGCTGATTATTTAATTCTGGCCTAAGCGTACACTTATTAAGCCTGCCCGATTTCTCAAGGCTAGTGATTTTCTCAATGACTGTGAAGGCACTGACATGCTGCATGATGCTGTGACCTAGCCTCAAGTCCACTCTACCTCACCCCACCCCACGCCAGGCTTCTTGCCATGACATGCCATTTTCTTTCCCTTCTTTCCTTCCTTTTTTTTTTTTTTTAATGTAATAGCAGCTTTATTTTTCATTACACAAACAACACTTATTTAGGATAGAAAAAAGAGAAATAGAGAAGGAGTAATAATATTTATAAGTTCACCTTTATCAAGTCCCTACTAAGAGCCCCAACTTTCTATACTTTATCTCATTTGATCCTATAGCAATTCTTTGAGGCAGGTAAAATTATTATCTTCTATATTATAGTTAGGGATACTGAGGCACAAAGAGATTGAGTTATGTATCTCAGGGGCACACAACTAGTTCATAGTGGGACCAGAATCCAAATTCAGTTCTATCTGACTCCAAAGTTCTTACTCTTATCCACTGTATCACATATTTTAGAAACATTTAATGCTATATCCTTCCAGAATTTTTTAAAAAGTTTTTTGCTATAGGGCATATGAGCTCATTGGAAAGAGAAAAAGAGAGACAGTGAGAGTAAAAGTGAGGAGTCATCCCACCAGTGGACATGGCCACATTGCAATTTCTCCTCCTCCTGGGATTCTGGGCACACACACAAACATGAGTTTCAAGCTGCCAGGTCTGTGACTCGAACTGCAGTCAATCATGTGGGAGTCCAGCGCCTTGGCCATGGTGCCACCTGCTGGCCCCATCCTTCCAGGATTTTTAAATGCATGTGTTTGATTTGTTTCTTTTAGCACAGTATAAACATTCTGGATATACAACTTTGAATATTATCTTTTTTTCACTTGTACTTTCTCTTGTTGATCTAAGTACATTGAACGCATCCTTTTTCATTTTTATTTATTATAGTTTTTCTATAGGGCATATGTACTCACAAGAGAGAGACAGAGAAAGAAAAAGAGAGAGGGGGAAAGTGAGTAATCACCTCTCAAGGGAGATGGCCACACTGCAATCCTTTCCTCTACATTTTCCTGTCGGGATTTTGAGCATGTACACCCATGTACTCAACATGTTTTTCAAGCCTCCAGGTCCAGGACTCAAACCACGCAGCCAGTCCTATGAGATACAGCCTCCTTAACCACCACACCACTGGCTTGCCTGAAAGCATTCTTTTTAATGTCTGAATGCTATTTCAGCAATCAGATACTCTATATTTACTTCACCTATTGGTGGATGTTTAAAATAGTTCCAAGTCTTTGGTAGTATAAACAGTGAGTGATCCAGGAGTAACCTAGGGGTTTAAACTTAATGTGATATTTTAGAATGTTTCCACACAGGTTGAGCATCCTTAATCCAAAAATCTGAAATATAAAGTGCTTCAAAATTCAATACTTTCTGAATGTGGATGTAATGCCACAGTGGAAAATCTACACCTAACCTCATGTGACAGGTCATAGTCAAAACACTCCAATACAAAAATATTGTATAAAATTACCTTGAGGGTAATGGATACAAGGTTTATATAAAACACAAGTGGATTTTGTGCTTAGACTTCAGTCCTATACCGAACATTTGTCATTATGCATGTGCAAGTATTTCAAAATAAAAAGAATTGAAATCCAAAACATCTGGTCCCAAACATTTTGGATAAAGGCTACTTAACCTGTAATATATTCCAGGAAAGGAGATTCCTCAGTAAACTAGTAGAAAAAAATAATTTTAGCCTCTAAAGTTTCTCAAAAAGTGTGGTCCCTGAACCACCTGCAATAGAATCCTCAGGATGCTTGTTAAAATGCAGATTTCTGGGCATCACTCCAAGTGAACATAATCAGAATCTTTGCAAGGTAAAGCCCAGGAATCAACATTTTAACAAACTCCCCGGGGACTACAATGTATACTAAAGTTTGAAAATCACTGACCTACATACAAATGACCATTCCTCCCCCCACCCCCCAAAAAAATGTTACGCCAATTTTACTCTCACCTGTATTTTCTAAATAGGTTGCTCCTCTCCCGACTCCCCACACCCCAACATGCATGAACACACATATTTATAACAACACCCAAAACATTAATGCACCATGGGAGGGACCCAGGATCCCCCCTTGGTCTGGTGCCTCTAACTCAGGGTCAGAGCTCACCACAGCCAAATTTCCAGGGAGAAATAAGGAACCAGCAACTCTTGGGGAAGCTTCAGGAGGAAGATGCTCATACTGGAGAAGCAGACCCTCGCCACTTCCCGGCCCACGTTTCACAGCTGGGAAAACAGGCCAGTTCTTGAGAGCTGGACAGTGGTGGCAATAATGAGAAGTGTGTGAATGGTCATCTGGTCGCTGCCTTCAGGCCTGTTCCCTTCCAATTCAACACAGCCACTATTCCTGGATGTGGATTCCACAGCTTCCACACAAAGTTGGCCCCAGGAAATGTGACATACTCTTGCCACTGTAGCATGTGACAGGGACAAGAACCTGCGCTTTGGAGTTAAATAGATCTGGATTTGAATTTTAAATCTGCCATTTATTAGCTATGTGACTTGGACAACTGATTTAACTTCTTATAACCTCAGTGTTCCCTTTCTGAAAAATGGGGTTGATAATCACTATCATAATCAGATAAGGTATATGAAGCATCTAGCATCATATCTGGTATAGATTGGGCCTTCAGTACAGATTAGATGCCTTGTCACCATGCCTCCCATCTGGAGGCCCTCCTGTAGCTCAGGGCCAGTAAAGATCATAGGTTTTACCTGTGTTGTAGTGCTTGGTACAATAGCCTAGATCCTTCTCATCCCGCAAGATAAACTGGGGCAGAGTCAACCCCTCAGCCACTTGGACAGCAGGAGCATCTTCCAGCCACTCAAACACGAGGTCATTCATGGTGTAGCCAACTGAAAGTGACAGAGATGGCAGAGGGCTGCAGAGTGTGGGTGTTGGGTGAGGGTAGGATTAGGGTTAGAACTGGCAGGAGAGAATAAATGCAGAAAAAGGCCTGGGGTTTAGAACGTTTATGCTCATTTTGGAAAGGGAAATTTCTGAAGAGAGCACTTGGTCAATTGTCACCGGCACTCATTCTGGGTGGGTAAATTAGGAAGATTCCAAACTCCTCTCTACCCAGTCCTTAAGATTGAGAATGGCCCAAAGTGAAAGTTATACTGGCAGACCTGGAAAGCAGGTCAAAGAGGGTTGGAAAGATGTCAAGGAGCCCAGCTGGGAACCTCTTGCTGTATCTCAAGCCCAGGGGAGCAAGCATGTGCACTGAGCACATGTCTTGAGCTGAGCCAGCCTCAGAGCCAAGGCTTCTGCCACCTCACCTCAGGGAAGAGAGAACTATTTATATCCTGCCATTCATGCATGGGACAATGTGCATACCACAGACTCCCAGCCGAGGCCTTGAATTGGGCCAGATCAAGAGCATATATTTGAACATGCCAAATTGCTCACAGATAGCTAGCAGTTCATGAAGGCTCATGCCAGATGTATGACCATATTCATATATGTCAGGTAGAAATGGGAGCAGAAATAAGGCTCACAGACATCTAATGAGGACCTTGACTCAGAGTAGCAGAGAGACTATAAGAAAGTCACTTCCTCATCTGTAAAATGGGGATAATAGTACCTGTTCTACCCACTTTTCAGATTTGTTGTAAAGGGGAAATGAGAACCTGAATGTGAAAGCGGTTTATGAACCCCCACAAAAATCTGACTATGAGGGACACATTCTATTTATCATTGCAACTTTATGCTAGGTACTGCTTTATGAGACTTCTCCTTTGAGGATGGAGTAGACACCTGATCTCACAGTGTCAACTCATTTGGGATATGGGGAAGGAATAGATGGTCCAGCCTTGTCACCTTTTGGCTCCTTTGCACGTTGGACAGCCTCTACAGGCTGGCATCCCTGCCATATGGAAGTCCCTGACTGACGTCTCCACTCTAGGTCATCCTATGCCTAACATTGTCCCCTCCTGTGGCTGTACAAAGGTTATCTGTGTCTTGGGCAATTAGGATTCAAAGAACAGCCCCTACCCTGCCCACTCTGGGATTTTTACAGGCATCTTTAATGTCTTAATTCAGGAGGAGTAAAAGTAGAACTACTTTAGGCATTGTGAGAAGGAACATACATTTGGGCGGAGGAGGTGCTCCTCAAATCACCTCCCACAACCAGCACAAGCACATCTGAATGTATGGCTGGCACCTTCTCATTCCTGGCCCTGTGGAATAGCCAGACTAGCAAATAATGTAGAGAGAGAAAAACACACTGGGCTGGGTGTTAGGAAGCCCTGGCTTTCCTGAGGATTCTCTCTATTGTCCTCAGCCCCACTTTCTGGTCACCTCTCCCGCTAATTTCATCTGTGCCAGGAACTGGCCCCATGTGCTTGGACAAGCCCTTCCCACTCTGGGTGGCCTCTTTCCGGCCTGGAGTATCATGGGATGGGGCTAACTAACTGGTTGTCTAGGCCTTGCTCTGTGACCCTCTAGAGACACTTACAGCTCTCCAGCTGCATTGTGCATGTCTGGATGTCCATGGGGAAGTTCTTGAGGTCCATCGGGCAGGACAAGATGAGGGTCAACCTGGTAGAGACAGTAAGAAGAAAGTGACATCGGCTTACTTAGCCCAGCACAGCACAGGGGAATCCTCCTCCCATCCCTCAGCTTCTATCTGGCTTCTTCCCCTTGAAGCAAACTCTCCTGGTCATCCACCAGGTGCACCTGATGCTGTAGAGCACATTTCCATTCTTGAAGATACGCAGTAACTTGTTGTCTGTGGTCACTTCATGGAAGTTGGCCCCTTTCTCATTGGCAAAGAACAAGTCTGGTTTCCAAATAGAGTCCAGCATGGAGGGATCGAGGTCCAGAGAGTCATCAGGATATTCTCGGTAGGCCAGGCGTGGGTCATTCCATTGCTGCCGCAGGAAGACATTCACCCTGTAGTCCTGGAAGGGTGCAGGGAGGGGTCTATCAGACGCAGTGGTATTCCTAGGGACCCGGCAAATCTACATGGGCAGGAGGGCCATGAGGAGGAAATGCTGGGAGCACATCTTGGGGGGACAGTGAACAATTCTTATTGGAGAAGGAGCCTGCCATGGGCTGATATGGCAAAGATGGGAAGGGAAAAGGCATTTAATTAAGCACACGTATGACAGGCTCTCTCCTAAGTGTTTTATATGTATCATCTTAATTAAATTTTACACTAACCTAGTGAAGATGATACTGTCATGACCTCCATTTTACAGATGAGGAAATTGACACTAAGTCATTTTAAGTACCATACTTAAGTTAACACAGTGATTAGATGGTAGAGTTAGTATTTGAACCCAGAGTTGCCTGATTCCAAAGCTACTTCACATATTTGACTATCTGCTACTTAGGCTAGTTTATCTTTAGACATGGAATATTCCAGGGTTAGGGAAACATGTTCTCCTAGTGACCAACTTGAGACATCACATGGCTTTAGCCATGATGACAAGTAAGAAGTCAGAAGAGGGAGTAAATGCTTGCTATCTTGTAGACTTCTCCCATTCACACTAGCATGGAAGTGGGGAACAGGGAGACCCCTTACCATGGTGGTCTCGGTGACGGAGCCGAAACTGTTGATGAAGATGTTGCAGGTCACATTCACGGGTGGGCCTGAGGGTAGCAAAGCACAGCCCATTGGCAGGGCATTCCAGGAGACTAGGAGCACGTTCCGGAACTCCCTTCCTGAGCTCAGACCAGGACACTGATGGGAGTAGTAGGACCAGCTACAGAGGCCCATGGGCAATGAGGAAGGGAGGGTCCCTCTGAGCTGAAAGAACTAGCCCTGGACCTCCAGCCTCCTTTCCTTGTACAGGAAATTGGGGCTGGCTAGGCAATGTGCTGCCAAAAGTGAAAGGAGAGAGAGGATTTCGTAGGATAAATGTTTCTTACCTTTTTCCCTTTTAAAGAATTATTTGATTTAATTTAATTTATTTGTTTATTTTAATTTGACCAGAGAGGGGCAGAGCGAGAGAGAGAAAGAGAGAAAGTGAGAAAGCAAGCCACCAGGTCTGGGACTTGAACCATGGTCGACCATGTGGGAGTCCAGCACCCTTAACCACCACTCTGCCTGCCAGCCCCAAATGTTTCTTACCTTTAAAATTGGGACGAATCCTGGCATCATATCCAGAAGTACGTCCCATAAGCTTGTCCAGGAAATCAGAGGGAGACATGGGCTGTGACCCCTTGGTCCCAGATTTGACTTCTTCTTTTGCCAAAGCCACCCTGGACGGAAAAGTAAAGAAGTCTGAGGCCAGGCTCAGTCACAGTGGTGCATGTGGCTAAGACGCTGTTCTCTTCTGGCTTAGACCATGTAGGAGGCCTGGGGTTAGACTACTGGAACAACCAGGAGTCAAGTCATGGTGGCACATACTAGCAACTTGGGAGGCTGAGGCAGGAGGATCGTGAGCTTGAGACTGGTCTGGGCAACATTGTCTGTCTAATAAAAGAGCCAGGCATGGTGTAGACCCGTGGTCCCAGCTACTCTGAAGGATGCTGCAGGAGGATCACAACAATGTGCCTCATTACTAGCTCACCAGCCAACAGAGAGCAGCAAGCAGGGGCTCAGTGAAGACTTTAGGGGCAGGGGCAGAGCTCAGGGTTGAGCACAGGCTCAGCCTCCTCCTGCTCCAACCTCTGTCATCCCTGAACCAGGTACTATACTAGCTTCACTGCTGCCACTGCTGCAGTTGTACTGGGAGCTGGGTGGCAAGGTGACTACTGTCTTTCAGGGTCCTAGCCTCTTTTTAGCCAGTGAGCCCCTCTCTCCCAGTAAATCCACACACCAGTCAGGGACAGGATAATAAAAATAGCTAAGGCACCATACCATTTTCCACACCTTATTTGGTTTAGTTCTTGCCTCAGTCCTCTCAGACAAGTCTTATGATGATCCCCATTATATAGATGAGGAGACTGAGGAGCAACGAGGGGAAGTGACTTCACAACCATATAGCTAGTAAGTGGTAAAGTCAAGATTTGAACCCAGAGCTACTGACTTCAAAATCACAAGACCATGATGCAAGCAGCCAAGGGTGGGTTGCCAAGGAACCAGAGTGGGGGAAGGTCCATGGCATCTTCACTTTAACCTCCTCCTACAGTCCCCTGAGAAGGAGGAAGCTCTTACCCAAGAGACAGAAGCTACCCTAACCTCCAGCAGAGACTGCCAGAGCAGGTGGCCTGAGCAGGCTCTGAAAATCCAAGGAGGCCAGTGGTGGTGCTGGAGTAAGCAGAAATCTGTGGTTTCACCACAGGATGTCCACGCTAGCCAGGTGCCATGGCTGCTGCTGGCCACCTGCCACTTGCCTGCTGGGAGACCACATGCCCCAGAACATGAAGTAACCAGACTCTCTTCTCTGTCCTCAACCCTACTCTTAGGTCACCTCTCCCACTAGTCCCAGCCTTAGGACCCTGGGACAGGATGTGCACTCAGCTGTCTTGGGCCCCAATCCTTGTCACTGCCCCTTCCCTGGGGTTACCTTGTCTGAGGACCTGAGAGCAGTGTCACCCTTTGCAGCCACTCCCTCTTCCCTTTCATTCCTGGAAAGTCCCAAACACTGGCAGGACCTAGGAGGATTCAGAGCTGACAGTCTTTCTCAAGCAAAGCCCTGGAGGGGAGAGATGGAGGACTCTGATTCTGCTGCTGGGTACCTGAGCTACCTGGCATGTGTCCCTCCCCTTCTCTAGGCCTCAGTTTTCATATGAAAAATGAAGACTTTGACTCAATATTCTCCTAGGTTCCTTCTTTCTCTATTTGCCTCCAGGCTCCAAGCCTAAGTGGGAGTGCTCCCACTGGAGCTGGGGCCTTGAGGCAGCATCCTCTTCAACAGGGCCAGCAAGGCCCAGCTGGGTGCCCCCTTCTGCCTGCATTCTCCTGTCAACTCCAGCTGAGCTGCCATTCCACTTTGAGCTACTTTTCACTCTTATGAAGTTTACTGCCCTGTTCTGCATCCCTGCCAGCCTGTCAGCAGACGTTGCAAACAGTAGGGCAGGAGGCTCCTTCTAGACAAGCAGCCCAGGGCTGCTCCTTGGATTAAGAGGAGGAAGAAGCGGGTACTGAGATGGCATTCACCCTCTTCACCTTGGGAGATGCTCTTCTTATGACCAGTTCAGCCCAAGCCACAGCCATCTTTCCTGCTCAACTAGCCCTGATAACCTACACTATCTCCTTATCCAGT